CTATGTTGACAAAATAATTTCAGCTAAACTTTCTTACCATTTACTCTAGCAAGTAGCCATTTGAGTGAATAAGAAATCATTGATTGTTACAGAATTCATCAGAAGAAAACTCACTTGAATAAAACTGATACGGAGTCAGGTTAGGATTAAATTTAATTCAATTCCTATTACCTTATGAGTTATATTTACATGCCCATTTAAAGAAATAAAAAAGAACTCTAGTTGCATATGAACTTTGCTCTGACTCACATGCTCTGCTCTAATACTCTTCAGAATTGCTGTAACTAGTATAACTAGTGTGAATAATCATTAAAGATGAAACAGCTATCTTAAGTTTAGTTTAAATTCTATTACCGAGTCAACAAACATTTATTGTACCTAACAGGACTCCCACTGTGTCTTGTCCCTGGCATACAGTGAGGAACAATATACTATAGTCTTGTAATATAAGACTTCAAATTTGGCTAAATATTCATTTTTATTTTTTAAAAAGTGAGAGAACGCAAGAAATCTATGGCCTGAACAGAAAATATGTGTGGGAAAAGGCCACTGCAAACTGGAATGTCTTACAGAAGGACATCAGGGCTTCCAGACACTAAGTTCTTTTCTTTTTTTCTTTTGTTGCAGTTTGGCCAGGGCCAGGTTTGAACCTATCACCCTCAGTATATGGGCCCTACCCACTGAGCCACAGGCACCACCCAGCACTAAGTTCTTTTCAACACAGTTGTTCTAGATGTGGAAGAGAGTAGGAAAGCAAGGTTCCAGCTGATCAGGACTCACGGCTGAGGCTACAAAGGTGGGAGCCGGGAGAGGGGCAGGTGGGACACAAGGCTCGTCCATCGGAGTCATTCAGGATGGAGACAAGTACTTTCTAGACTATTCCATCCAGCACAGGGGTTCCTGGGCAGGGCTGTCCTGCTCACTGCAAGTGGCTTGGAGAGTGAAGATTCACCTTGTCCGGGTGGCACCTGTGGGTACTGCGCCAGCCCCATATACCAGAGGTGGCAGGTTCAAACCCAGGCCCGGCCAAAAAAAAAAAAGATTCACTTTGTCCCATGAAAGGAAAACTTCACTGAAGCTGGCAAACTCCAGAGACTCCTCCATGCACCCACGGTCGTGCGATTATTAATGTTGCACTTGTTTTTACTTTTTATATTGAGAAATACTTTACTCACCTACACAGACATTTTTAACAATAAAGTGCTCACAGTTTAAGTACACACAGTATAACAGATTTTTGCCGACATGTACACCTGTGAAATACTGAACCATTCCTTCACCAGAAGGGTCTTTCATGCCTCTTCCCCGTCAATATATATGGCTAATGCCATTTTGACTACTAAGTATGCCTTTAAAATGCTCTGCCAGGAAACTTCCTATTTTCACACTGAAAAATTTCATACCAGAGCTGACCACCCTTGCATGGTGTTCATCTAAAATGTAATCACGTGGAAAGGGATATTTCCTTAATAAATGTGGTTTTTCAAATGTGGAAAAATGTTTAATGTTCAGAAAAAGAAATAGATTAGATCTGGAAAGAAACAATTTAAAAAAATAAACCACCACAGTTTTTCCTCAAAAATTCTCAATCATGAAAGTTTGGTTTAGTGTATATATATTTCTTTTGTAGTTATAAAACATAAGTTATGTCCTTCTGAGGGAAAGCACAAAATTATTATTATAGTTACGAAGAAAAGACAGTAGTTAACACTTTTGTGTAGTTACAGTAAACACTCCTCAAGCACTTCATAAATTTGTATTTTAATCCCTACTGTAATAGTAAGGTGGGGTAATCCATTATTTTTCTTGGGGAATGAGGGTTTACATTATTGGCCCAATGTACATAAATGCTAAGGGGAGAAGTCAGGATTTGAACTCATATAGACTAAGGCTATAGTCTCATCTTTCAGACCATACCAACTTACTGAGATGCAGAATTACAGCAGGGCCAGATTATTAGATAAAGAAGAACATCCACAAACGTACTCTTTTTTACTACTTCTGAGTTTGGGCAATTATTCTTTTTATTCATTCCCACATGGTAAGATTGATTTCTGTGATCTCAACACAGTCTAAATATCACATCACGTTTGTCATCATAATTTCATTTCTATTGAAAGAAGAACAAAATGGGAGGTGCCTGTGGTTCAGTGGGGCGCCAGCCCCTATGGAGGGTGGCGGGTTCAAACCCGGCCCCAGCCAAACTGCAACAAAAAAGTAGCCGGGTGTTGTGGCGGGCGCCTGTAGTTCCAGCTACTTGGGAGGCTGAGGCAAGAGAATCACCTAAGCCCAGGAGTTAGAGGTTGCTGTGAGCTGTGTGACACCACAGCACTCTACCAAGGGTGATAAAGTGAGACTCTGTCTTTAAAAAAAAAAAAAAAAAAAAAAAGAGGAACAAAATAATGCTTAAAAAACTAATGTAAAAGCAAATGAAGAAATAAATGAATAAAAACTTTTTTTTTTTGAAGTTTTGGCCGGGGCTGGGTTTGAACCCACCACCTCCAGCATATGGGGTCAGAGCCCTACTCCTTTGAGCCACAGGTGCTGCCCGAATAAAAACTTTTAAATGTTAGACTCATCAATGGCTATAATTTCTTAAGTATTAAAATGTAGCATGAATATATACATATATTCCTATATAAGAATATATATATATATATATATATTCTTTTTCTTTTAATTTCAGGTTAATGTGAGGGTACAAATAACCAGGTCACAATATTTGAATTTTTAGTTAGAGTCCCTCTTGTAATTGTGTCCTGTACCCAAAGGTGTGCCATACATTGTGCCCATTAAGTGGTAGCACCCCAATCCTCCTTTCCCCCTCAATTCCCCTTCCCCCAACTTGAATTAAAATGAGTTTTTTTCCTATGTGGGCATAAATTAGATCATAGCATCATTATATTTAAAGAACTTTCTTAGAGGTTGTTGTACTACCCTTTTACTTTTCTCACCTTTTTTTCTTTTTATTAAATCATAGCTATGTATATTAATGCAATCATGGGTACAATGTGCTGGTTTTATATACAATTTGAAATATTGTCATCAAACTGGTTAATGTAGTCTTTGTGGCATTTTCTTTTTTCTCTGAGAAAGCAGAGGTAATATGCACCTAAATACCTTCTGCTATTATCTTCTAAAAATTTCAGCTCTATTTCCTGATATATAAACTAATTTTTTTTTACATATACATGTGTTTATTTGATTTCCATTTTTTGCCTTCACAAAATTAAAGAGGCTTAAAATTTAATAACAATAACAATGTTAAGATAAGGACTAGAAACAACAACCTTGTGAAGAATGAACAAAGATAAATACAATCAGAAAAGAAAGCAGATGATTGCTGCAACAAAATATTGAGCAATAATAATAATGCAAAAAAAGTAACATTCATATTGTCGATAAAAGTATGTCTATCATAGAATGCTTTGACTTTGAGGTTCAGTATGGAGTTATCAGTTAACTACTTTTTTTCCCCCAAAGTCTCAAAAAATAGAGAATATTTATTTTTATAAATAAAAGTAGAAGATAATTTCAAAAAACAGATCATGCCAAATCTTATAGACAATAGGAAAAGAAGAAATACTTCAAAATCATTCTACTTCATCTGGGTATACCTGATATTAAAATTGGAAAAATATGTTATTATAAAGGGAAATCACAAACATTTTCACTTATAAATGAGGATGCAATATCCTAAACAACATATTAATAAGTTGAATTAAAAATTATTGTTCAAATAATGTACTTTGGTCAAAATTAAATCCAATTTATGTGAGAATTAGTCACTATTTTCTTTTTTTTCCCTTTCCTTCACCCCTCCCCCTCCTTCTCTCTCTGCTCTCTGTATGCTAAATTTTTAGAATAAAGTAAATGCTTATAAATTATATACATTTTCTCTTTTCCTTTGATAACAGTGGCTATGTATTTTAAACTATCATGAGAAATCTTAATATTTGAATTGAACACGTGTATTTTCTTAAGTAAAGCTGCTTCATTATTCATGAGTCAAGAGGAAAGTCTTTCTTTATGGACTTCACACTTTCATGGTGAAACACAAATGCTAATTGAGCAGACTGATGATGAGATAGAGAAAAATGATGACAGGAAAGATGCCAGCACACAGATACTACAGTCATTCATTTTTATCTCAAATGAATCAACCACGGCTTATGAATGTAGGTCTAACGCTAATTCTGGCAGCAAACCGTGCGGAGCACCAACCCTCCCAGGAGGCCAAGTCTTCATGCAGACAGCTTTTTCTCATTTCTCTCATTAGAATACACCAAGTAGCTGCACAATCAAACAACTCCTAAATGAATGATTAGAAACACGGCGAATGTGGGAGACTCTCCTCCACTCTGAACTCCAAATACTCATTCAAAGATAAAAATGTTTGCTCTTGTCAAAGAACCTGGGCAACTAAGCTATAATATGCAGAGAAAGCAGAAATTGCCCCAGCTATTCGCCATTGCAGATCTCATTTCATGGCATTAGTTAGGTTAAAAAAAAAAAAGGGTAAACGATATTCACTCTAAGTGCACAACAGATGAAGACATGGACCAATCAATCTCCATCCATCTAATCTCATATGTGTATGAGCTAGCTTGGTTCTTTTTATATTTGATTGTCTACCATGGAAAGTTAACAGAGATTTTTAAATAAGTAACTTGCTATTTTAAGCTGCTACTTCTGAGCTTTTCTGAAGACACTAGTTGATCAGTGGCACAAGACCCTTCAGACGCTAAATGGCAGAAATAAGCTCTTCTAAGGTTTTTCTAAATCCTTCCTATTCTCACAACAGGATCCCTTCATTCCAGTACTAGAGGATGGGAAGTAGCACCCATTACTTGTTAAAGACACCCAAGTGAGTTGAGAGCTAACTGTGTAATAGAAATGCCACATTTAATTGGCCCTGAAGCAATGAACAAAGCTCTTTCATCTTAGAAAGGGGAGAGCATGGAATTTAAAAAGGAAAAAAAAATAATTAAACCTCTTACCTTTTGTGGCAATCCGTACACACTGGGTTTTAGTTTCCTGATGAAATAAAAATGAAAGAAAATGGTCAATGCATAGGTAAAGTTCCTGTTTCATAAACTATAACTGTTACGAAGATCAGTCTGAGGTCATAGCAAGGATTAGAAACAACAGAATTATTCAGGAAGCTCTGCTTTAATATACACTCTCGGAGAAATTTTTTTAAAATGTAAAAGAAATACTTAAAAAACTTTCCAGTATTTTCTCAAGATGTAGGTATCTCTTTCCCCTTATCATGAATAGGCCAGTTTTTCTGTGACAAGTAGGACAGCATTCTACATACACGTATTGTGCCTCTTAAACGATTGGAAAGCATATTGGCAAAGCGAATGCACATCAGACCCAGCGCTAAATTTAATTTTCATCTGGTAGCTGTGGACTCTACCAAAGCTAAACGTTATCTACTCTCATTTGGATCCTAGCATGTCTGAGGAGCTATAAATGAGAGTTAGAACAATCACCAAACGCTGCATCATAATTTATTTGTTCTTTCTTTTCTTTTAATTTAGCTGACAGGAGTTAACTGCTTCTCAGATTATTCTCCTCCGTTTGCCAGACTGAGCGGGTACAGAAAGTAGGAGCAGAAGAAAGAAAGGACGAGAAAGATGGTGTTGTGGACCGGCAGCAGGAGACGCAGGCCCCTGACAGCAGAAAAGGGCCTGGGCCCACCCTCGCTTCTGTTAAGACTTAGTTCATTCAGTGTTTATCTCTGAGTCCACAAGAGATAAGAAAAGGTACCAAAGCCTGTGAATGAAACAGGCTATGTGTTTTCAAGATGCATTTTTAGGCTCAGTGCCCATAGCTCAATCAATGGTTATGGCACTAGCCACATACACCAGGGCTGGCATGTTCGAACCTGGCCTGGGCCAGCCAAACTACAATGACAACTACAACAAAATAATAGCCAGATGTTGTGGCCAGTGCCTATAGTCTCAGCTACTTGGGAGGCTGAGGCAAGAGGATGGCTTAAGCCCAAGAGTTAGAGGTTGCTGTGAGCTGTGATGCCACAGCACTCTATATAATGAGACTCTGTCTTAAAAAAATGCATTTTTAACTCCATCTTGAGTAGTTCTTTGTAATTTCCTCTTGGGCATTTATTGTTTTTTAATTAAATAGAGGGGGAATGAGTAATTAAAAAGCAAATTTTACACTTCTATTATTTAATTGTGACCTAAGGCCTTCATGGTAAGCTTCAAGAGATTACTTCACATTCCCATAAAGGCCCGAAGGGGTTTCGATTGCCTGAAAGCAATTCCTGTTAAGTCTCTATCGGCATTACCAGCCTCTGCTGGCAGGAACCACGTCAATTTTAAAACTCTTTGCCAAGATAACTGTGAAATATATGGTTGTTATTCTGTACTTTGATTAAACCACAGTATAGATATATTAACAATTGGGAAAGAAAATTTATATCAAAGCTTTCAAAGGGTGCCAAAGAAAATCCGTTATAAGTAACATTCATTAACACTCCCCTCTCACAACAGAGCAAATAACAAAAGTTAATTCGGAAGCTCTCTCCTCTCTAAAGGTGAAAACCCTAACACAAAACTATGTTTCCTAGTTTTCTGTGACTTTATCCCCCAAAATGGTGAGTACCTTCCACTGTGTTCTCTTTTTTTGAGTGGCTCAGACGTACCAGGGTATAGAAGGTTATGCAGGTAGGAAGTGGGTATTGGACTGGCCACTAAAGAACCCCATTTGGATAGAAATAAACTAGAAGGGAAAAAGCATCTTCACCCATGAGCAGCTTCTGACTTTGAGCACATTTAGATGATGCTACAGCATTTTTCCTTTGCCATCTGTAAACCAATCTTTCAGGGAGGTAGAAAGATAAAACTTTCATTCAAAAGCAGCTTTTCAACACCCAAGGTTCTCGTGGCCCCTGCAGAGGGACGAATGGATAGTGACATGTTCCAATTAAACTCTTCTAAGATACAAAATGACCAATGCAATCACGGATCATAGATCACTCCCAGGTGCCCACCTTAGGGACTCAATTACACAAACCTTGCAACTTCCTACACAGCTAGACGTCTGCTAAAATGTCATTATTCCTATTCAATCTTAGACTGTAGAAGTTTCTATTCTCAACATTTTTTTTTCTTTATCCCTCTTTGCCAAAGATGAAATAAAAGTAAACACATGAATAAAATAAGTTTTAGGAGAGAAAAATCTTTCCGAGAGAACAGCGGGAGACACTTAAGGCCAGGTTGTTTCCCCTACGGAACCAGTGGTAGTTTCGAATATCCTGTAGTGCTTTCCTCTTCAATATTCATTTGGGATCAGAGGCAGTGTTCAAAACAACTGTGTCCAAAATGGGAAAAGGAGGGGCAGCGGGGAGACAGAAGGCAGCCTCCCTAATGGCCCAGCAGCCAGTCCTCACCGGCGCCTTCCCTTTAGGTCTGTCAGCTCGGCCACAGGTGCCCTATTACTTGGTAATCAGAGGCTTGCTACTTGTTATTTACTATTTGACTTGAAAACCTTGCAAAGTTTATAAACGTTTATTAGCCTGCTGTGGAACACGCATTCTGTTTATCCTGCAGTAAATTTAATCTTTTGAAGTGCACCACTGCTGAGAGAGGAAAACAGAACAATGCCTGGCATTTACTGGGGGTGGCATCCCGGGGGGAGCACACCCACCTTTTCAAATCACTTTACTCACATTTGCTACCACGGTTGCCGCACAGAAGGTGCAGGTACCCACAAAACAGGAATCCTGAGAAATGTAACTGGCGTGCAGCTTCAGCCCAGTGATAGGTTCCCAAACTGTGCATATACTGTTGGGGGCAGGAAAAAACACCCCCTACATAACAATTGTTTTCCTTTATTATTTTTTTGTTTCTGGATGAATGGACTCCGGCTTTTCCTCAGGGCTGTGAAAAAGCAAATCTTGGAGGACGCTCACCTTTTCCACGCTGCTCATTGCCTGGAAATAGATGTTGTATCCTTTGCGTGGAGCCAGAGGGGGGTTCCAAAAGCCTTGATAGGTCCTGTTGTCACCCACTGTGAATGGGGCAGGCTCAGGTAGATTCCCTGGGGGGAGTTCTGCAGCGAAGTAATAGGGTGCGCCTCCGCTCATGGCACTTTGGTAGGTGACAGGGACCTGGTAGCACTCCATGGCTCCTGCTTCTCGCCTGGTGCGGTGTGGGTGCAGCTCCTCCACAACAATCTGATAAGCGCTTTGGAGAAAGAGGAGGGTAAAGGACACATTTAGCAATTGGAGATATTAAGATTTTTTTTTTTTTTTTTGAGACAGAGTCTAACTTTCTTGTCCTGAGTAAGGTACTGTGGCATCACACCTGACAACAACTCCAACTCTCAGGCTCAAGAGATTCTCCTGCCTCAGCCTCCTGAGTAGCTGGGGCTACAGGTGCCTACCATAACACCTGGCTATTTTTAAAGACAGGGCCTTGCTCTGGCTCAGGCTGGTCTTGAACTGGTGAGCTTAAGCAATCTACCCACCTCTGCTTCCCAGTGTGCTAGAATTACAAGAGTGAGTCCAAAAGGTGCACTATTAACATACCACATTCAAAACTATTTATAAAACCAGACTTAACCCAGTGCATTCATGCTTTCAGCTATCTTGTAACAAAACAGAATTTCACATGAATTTTATTCTTCCCAACACCAGCATAGTTACTAGGGAAGTGAAACAGGTTAAAAAATAAATCATCATAGAACTCTTCACATTTTAAAATACTAAGGAAGAAGAAGCCCCGTTAATAAGGACCCTGACATTAACAAGAGACACATCATAGATTAAGTTCTTTGTCTGGTATTTTTAAAGGCTTAACGTTAACATTTCCTGGGAATGGATATTATGGAAGGCCTGGCTCCAAGGTCCAACAGAATGAGTGCCTGGGGGCGGTGCTGGGAGCACCAGTGTGAGGTTGTCACAGCCTTCTAGACAGAACGTGCTGACAGGCTTCTCCACCTCCTGACCTTGCTGCGGCATCGACATTGGCTCAGAGCTATGTAGAGCTAAACTACAAGTGACATGCGGCAATACGGGCACAGATGGACAGAAATCTGTCCTCGCCACCGAAATAGACTGCCTCCTTCTTCTGGAGTTGTTATTAATAAAATGTTACAAATTGTAGAAACAGATGGCATTTGGCCTATTAAAGTTCTAACCTAAACCTTCTAGTACCTTTCTTAAAAGTCTTAAAACTTTTCTCCAATAGCTATTATTTCATAGAGAAGAGGGGAGGAAATGCACATTTGAAAATTTCTCTGATTTCTAATAATGTGATTTTTAATCACTTTCTGAAACAGGCATATTAATATTCTTTAGGGGATTCTTTACGCATGACATTTTTTAGGTAAAGCACACCTGAGAAAGTTGACGCTATTAACAATAATGTATGTATTATTAACATATTTTAAAGGAATATGCTTAAAAATTCCTGAAAATTATGAGAAAATACATTGTGGTAGTTTATATAAATTGAACATAAATAAGCTGTGCGTGAGATCACATAGGAATCTTGAGTCTCTGACAAACGTGCTTCTCTATGTGGGAAAAACAGGCGCTACTCAATGGGTCTTCAAAAGGAATGGAATATTTTCTTTAATAGGCTTTCATAAAAACAAAGGGGGCAAGAAAGATAGTGAGAGATAATTTGCATCCATGAAAATTAAAACGGTTTAGAATCTTCTATGAAATTCTAACTTAATATAAACTATTGCACTTAGAAACAAAATATCTTTATCGATTGAGATAAAAAATTACAGTTTAATTTGCAGATTAAAGATTTTCTTTTCTTCCAAATTGTTCAAGTTCTCACTTTCCATTAAAATATTGCTAGGAAACTGATAGGGTAGGATCCATCTCCTTTCCTCTAGAAAGAGGACAGACATCGTATTAACGTCAAAAATTGTAATTTGAGCAAACAACTAAGGCAGAAGTCAAGGTTATGTCGAATTATGTCAACTGCGTCATTGTTTCTCCTGCTGCCAAATTGGGTGGCTAAGCTCGAGAATGCCATTGACAAGATACATGGTTTCTGAGACATCCATGGAGCAAGGACTCATCAATTTTAAAATATAGAAAAATACATAAGCATAGCCCCAAGAAAGAAGAAAAGAATAAACATAGCTGACATCTGCTATATTAAGCAAATCTAGCCCTTCATTTGTCTTATTTTTAATTTATAAAACATATTTGTATGTTGCACATTTGCCTATCCCGGGGATACATCCATTTATGCACATAAGCTTCCACATCCGTGCTTGCCAAACAAACCTTAGATTCCTGCCCTGAAGAACACTAATGATAATTACCCATCCTTGTTAATCATTTAACTTAATCCTTAAAAACAAATTCCTCATTAATTATCTCATACTTCTAGAAAAAACCCAGAAAATCTAGTCAACATTCAATCTTGACTAATTCTATTAAATTGACATAGATTTTATATTACAAATTAAGGGTACTTCATGCAAGGCAGCTTGACTCTCCGGATCTATTAGGAGCAAAGCAAATTGCCAGTGTAGGAGAGGAGTGAAGTAAGAAAAGCTGCAGTCTGCTCTGGGGGAAAGAACCCTGGGTATATAGTCATACAGGAATGAAAATCAACACCCGGGTTGAACTTTTGGATGTGGCATTATTCTCAATTAAAAGAATGATAAATCATTCAATCTTATAAGGTGGGGATATTTTAATAAAGAATTAAATTAAGAAAACTATTTCCATCTATATGTACACACACAAACACACACAAAAAATATTCTATTGCCATGAACTTTAATCTTGTAATGCATCTTTCCCCTCTAGTATCATCCATTCTTTGAATGATCATGGAAGAAATGAAGTGCTGTATTATTGTTATTATTTAGAAACTGAGGCAAAGAGAAATTGAGCTCCTGTTAAAACTCACACCACTAGCCTCACTTTCTCCTTTCTCTATTTTGTGCTAGATTGTTTTAAACTGGACGTTTGTGTCTCTCCAAATTTCATGTTAACACCTTAACCCTCAATGAGATAGTATTTGGAGACATGGCCTTTGGAAAGTATTTAGGGTTGGATGAGGGGCCTTCACCAGATTAGCCAGCACCTTGATTTTGAACTTTCCAGCCTCTAGAGCTATAAGAAATAATTGTTTCTTGTATAAGCCACCCAGTATTGTGTTATAGGAGTCCAAGCAGACCAAGACACATACATAGAGGAAGACATTCGAAACCTGGCTTCTAAGCATAATTACCAAAATATTCTTTGTGCAATGACTGACACAGGACTGAAAGCTAGATGTGGGTACTAGATCTCCATACTCCATCCCTCTCTCACTCCTAGGAGAAATGTCTTCATAATATAACAGGTTTGTTTCTGGATACTTTTCACCCTCAACTATGCTTCACCCCACAAACTGATACAGTAGCCATCACACTCTATATTCAAGTGTTTCAAACGGGGTAATGGGCATTTTACAAGTATTTGCAGAACAAATAAATCGCTTCTGTTCTTTCCATGGAGTTTTTGCTTAGTCAGGATATATTTAAGATTTTTTTTTCTTTCTCCATGAATGTAAAATTTTCACCTCACAGCTCCTGAACATTATTTGAATATTAAGAATTTCCTCAGTTCCCTTCTTTCCTGTGACTTTGTATCAATTCGCTCATTCATTTTCATCTGGAAACTACATATATAACAGCTACCATATAGGCCCTTAGGACAGACAGGTGAACAAAGTCCTAGACCTTGTGGACCTTTGATTCACTTCTCTTTTTTGAAATTTCTAGTGTTTTACCATGGTTACAATGCTTTCTGCCCCCTCCACGTGATACAGTTTAAATACCCAAATATCTATTTTCTTAAAAACTCTCTTTCCTTCTGAAACCGTGATGGCCCATGAGAAGGATTTAAAGTGACAGAGACAACCGCCTGCAAGTAGATTTTCAAAGTCCTCTTCATTTATCTCTCACATTCTCTTTTGCTTTCACCAAAAAATATCCCTTTTCCAGTTTTAATTCTTGGTTCACACCTGTCTGCTAAACTGCTCTCTCTCCCTTCAGAATCCCCTCAGCTGCTACCTTTTCAGCAGACTGAAAATATGACAGTATTTCTTCTTGTAATAATATTGCTAAAAATCCTCTAGTGGAATTTTATTGGGCTCAGTCTTTAGTCAGCTCCTTTCAGGACATACCACTTTGTACATCTATTGTTGCCTTTTCCGAGCACATTTAGACAGCCCAGAGATCAACTACAACCTGGCAAGTCCTTAAACTGTGTTTATACTCAGTGAAAAGCACCTAGAAAAATAACGAAAAGTCACTATCAGGGGAGATCACATTGAACTTGGGACGAAGCCCCAAACTAAAAATTTTAAAGAGCATGTTTAAAAGAAGCTATCTTTCCTTTGCTGTTCAATTTAAGGTTTTTCCTTAACCTCATGTTTACGCTTTTAAAATCTGTTTTTATCCTTGTTACTTGCTTATTTATCAATTCAAATTAATTAAGGGACAGAAAATAAGAAATGGGAAATCAAATTACAAGTGATTTAACTAATTACATGAAATGGGCCTGTGCTTTTTCATTCTTGTGGTTGTTTAATTACCTAATGGTACTTAACTCTAGCTAGAGCTAAATATTATTTGAGCTTAGTGCTCTAGTAATTAAAAATATCCCAAAGCCATCTTAATATTTTTAATCACGCTACCCATATTTAATATGTTCCCCATTCCTTTTAATTACATTTAAAAATATTTCTATAATTAAGTTAAAAATCAATATACTGGCATCATGAATCTTCATTCAACACCCAAACTGCAATTTTTTTATGTTTAAAACATTAAAAATGACATGTTTTACTATAGTATACAAATGCTTCTCAACTTACAGCGGGGTATGGCCTAACATACCCACTGCAAATTAAAAGTTTTGTAAGTGAAAATGCAGTAAATACACCTAACATATCATAGCTTAAGCCTAGCCTACCTTAAATATGCTTAGAACACATCAGCCTATCTGACACAAAGACTGTTTTATAATAAACTGTTCAAAATCTCATGTACTGCACATTCCTCATTCAGGATACTATCAAAATTGAAAACTTGAAGTACACTGAAATGGTGATGATTTCACATTATCATAAAGTTAAAAAATTGTAAGTTGAACTATAATCATAAGTTAGGGGACTACTTGTTTATAATTTGGTTAATCCTTGGTATGCAGTCATTTATA